TCATTCCTGAAGCTGGGCCTGCAGAGGGGCAGGAGGGCTCCACAGCTCGGAGCGGCTGCTACCTGGCCAGCTGTTCCCTCGCTAGGGAGGCCTGGGGGTAGAGGAATGAGCACAGGACTTGGAGAAGGCAGACTGGCTTCCTGCGCTGGCTCATAGCAGTTGTTCAGTCATGTCCTGGCTAGGGACAGGGTGTCCTGGCAGCCACAGGGATGCCCTTAACCCCCTTGAGCCTCCCTTTGCCTAACTATAAAGTTGGGGGGAAACGTGCCTCGAGGATCCGTTACGAGATTAAATGCACTACGTTTTATGGCATTTCACAAACCTGAATGCCATGATACTGCTGCTTATTATCACTGTTGGTGACATCAGCAGGCGTTTAAAAAGCTTACGTATATGCATGTGTCTGCTCAGTGTTAAAAAAGAAAAAAAAAAAAAAAAAAAAAGCTTACGTATAGCTGGAATGAATAGAAGGTACTTGCCATGAATTGCTCACTACAGTGGAGGTGGCAGGGAGGTTAGGACTGGTGCAAATCCAGGAAGGCTTTTTGAAGGAGGAGGCTTCAAGGTGAATCTTAAGAGAGACTCTGAGTGTGGTCTGCCAGAGAAGAGCCAGTGCTCTGAGCCAAAGCAAGAGTTGACCAAGGACCAGTAGGTGGGAGTGGTGGCAGGCCCAAGGAGGGGTGACGAGGGAGGAGTGGTAAGCCTGGGGAAGTACTGGGAGCCCAGAGCATCTGGCTGCAAAGTTGGATAAGCTGGGCCGTGGGGAGCAGGGAAGTAGGTTCTTGAGTGAGGGTCTGGAGTTCTGGGGAAGAGAGATGGGGGAGCAGACCTACTCAGAGGCTGAGCCTGGCAGGAAAGGTCCTGCCCCCAGCCCCCAGCCCCCATGCCCTGGGGCTGGTCAGGCCCCATCAGCTTGCTTGAGCTCGGGAGGAATGACATCCCTGGGCCCATGCAGTTGTCACCTGTCCTTGGAAGCAGCAGTCCGTGATGAATGGTGTTCATTCCCCCGTGATTTGTGCTCCATGCCCCCACCCCAGCCTGGCCCAGCCCGCCTGGCATGTGGCACATGATCCATCACCCTCCACAACGGCCTCTGATAATGGGCCATTTGTCTTCTGACTCTTAGACCTTCCCAGACCGATGGCACTGGTAGAGACAGATGGAGAGGGTGGGGCGGAGGGGCTGGGACAGATGGATGGGCGTCTGGCCGGGGCGGCTGGCAGTGAGCCGGGGCCTTTGGGGGTCCTTTCATATATATGCCTCACGCCAGGAGCAGGGACAAGGAGGGTCCCCAGGGCTCAGGCCCCATCCTGTGGCAGATCACAGACTTGGCACCTCCTCAAATCATGGCATGAACATGACAATGCCAGGAATTAATAGAATTATTACCTAATAACATCACAGATAAATGGAATCAGAGTTGACAGGGAGCTGGGGTCATCAGTTCCCATCTCTAGTGGTAAGGTAGTGACAGATAGTAACTAATAGTAGCTGGGACTTATTTAGTGCCGACTATGTGTTAGACACTATTCTAAGTGCTTTCATCTCATTCAATCATTACAAAAATATAGTCGGGAAGATTTTTATCCCCATTTTACAGAAGAGGAAACTGAGGCCCAGAGGTTAAGTAATTTGCCCAAGCACACACAGTTCCTAAGCCACGGCCCCAAGATTTAAACCAAGTGGGCCTGATTCTAGACTTTACCACCAGAACCCTGTTATGTGGCCACCGAGAGAGCCATGGTGCCCAGGGCACAGCAGTCAGTCATCTAGGGGTGCAGTGTCACCCCTGCAGTTTCCCATATCCATGTTGGGTTTGCACATGGCCTCAAATTTTCCTTAGTGCCTACTACATGCCTGGCACTGTACTAGTGCTGGGAATGCAAAAACGGAGTCCACAGACCCACAGGACAGGGGCTCCCATCCACTTGTCCCGGTAGATCACACACCCTACGAAGGCATCTCTCTTCTCTGCCCAGCCAAAGAGGAGGCAGCTCAACCACGACAACGTGGCAGAGCAAAGACCAGGACTCTGCCTGCCCTCTGCCACCTTTCCATGCCAGGCGACTCAGGCGGGGCCCTGCCCATCCATCCCAGCCTCGCATTCCCCTGGGTGGGCAGGAATGTGTGTTTCAGAGGCTGTCCTTGGCCACCTGGCTGCTCCCCTCTGGGCAGCCTTGGCTGAGTCCCTCTCCTGGGTTTAAACCAAATGGGGGGATGGGCTTCCCAGCCACAGGGCTGTTGCCAAGTGCCCACCTGCCTCTTGGTTCATTCAGAAGCCCCTGATGGGAGACCCAACGTACCTGGGACAGGAGCCGGGTGCCAGTTTCCCTCTGAAATGATCCGCTGTGGAAGGGTCTGCTGAGCACATTTGGACCCTAAGCCTGGTGGGAAGGGACTGTATAACCTACTTGGGGGAAGAAACCAGTGTCCAATTGTGCACAAGCATTAAATAGGCCACCTTCAAAGGGTTCTTGTCTGTTCATTAAAGCAGGCCCCCCGGATCCTAACTTGGCAAGTAGGAGCCCTCACACTGTTCCCCTCTCCCCCTTCCCTCCATTTGCAGTGGTTTGGGGCAGCCTGACCACAGTGTTCCCATGAGCAACCAGAGTGTGGGCACCGTGCATTTGCTCTGCACAGGTGTGGGGAAGGAGGCTAGGTGTAGGACCGGTTCTATGCATTCCTTTAGCCGGCTTGACTTCCTCCAGCACACCCCCAATATGAAGGCCCATGGTGACCAGGGAACCCCCAACCCCAACCAGGCAGGACCCCAAAGGGATCTACCTGCCTTAAGAATGAGGGGTTGAACCACCGAGTGATAGGAATGTCAGCACCTCAGACACACCAGGCACACATGCGCCTCAGGGCCTTTGCACCTGCTATTCCCTCTGCCTAGAACACTCTTCCCCTGGGTGTGCACATGGCTCCCTCATTCCTTTAGGTCTCTGCTTAAATTTTAGTACTTTAGAGACCACAAATTAAAATAGCACCGTGTCAGTCTTTGTCTCCTTGCACCGCTTAGTTTTTCTCCATAGTATTTCTCAGTGGTTAACAGATGTGTGTTGGGGGTGGGGACGGTTGCAGTCTCCCCACTAGAACGTAAGCGCCATGAGGGCAGGACATTTATTTTGTTCATTACTGTATCCCCAGCCCCTAGAACATTTCTTAGGTCGTAAATGCAGCTGTCCCTTAGTATCCATGGGGGATGGGTTCCAGGGCTCCCCTGGATACCAAAATCCTCAGATGCTCAGGTCCCTCGTGTAAAATGGCATATTATTTGCATCAAACTGCACATATCCTTCTGTGTATTTTAAATCATCTCACGTGACTTACAATAATTAATACAATGTAAATGCTATGTAAATAGTTGTTAAACTGTATTATTTAGGGAATAATGACAAGAAAAAAATAGCCTGCATATGTTCAGTACAGACACTTTTCTTCCTCCACATATTTTCTATCCGCGGTTGGTTGAATCCACAGATGCAGAACCCAGGGACTTGTTAAACCAAGAGCGAAGTCATTAACCCTCCCCGCCTATACCTTCACTGACCGGGAGGGGCGCTGCGGGAACTGAGGAAACTGGAAACTGAGGCTCAGAGGTTAAGTAACTTGCCCAAGCACACAGTGACCCCAAGATTTAAATCAAGTGGGCCTGATTCCAGACTTTACCACCAGAACCAAGCCGGCTCCCAACAGCAGCCCAGCCTCGGTGCTGCTGGGGCTAGATGGGCTTGGCTGCTGCAAGGCTGGCTTACTTTGGTCCAAACTGCCCCTCATCCCAGAATTATGATACCCCAAGGCGGGAAAACACCACCCCCGCCCCCGCCCCCCAGCCCGGGGAGCGGACGAGGTTGGGCGTTTGTGGCGGCGGGACCTGGAGGGGATGTTGGCCCAAGAATCAGAGTCCTACAGCCCTGACCTTGAGGTCCTTGTAGCCACCAGGCTGGTGACACAGACTGACTTCCCCTGCCTTCTCCTCTTCCCCGCGAGAAGATCGATACCCTCCCTGTCCCCAGCACCTTGGAAATGATCTTTCTCTGTGCCTCTTAGGACTCTCTGTCTGCCTCTCCCTGTTCTACCCGTAGTGCCTGTCTCTGTTTCATCTTGCTCTCCTGGCTCTCCCTCCTTGCCATCTTGGCTCCCCCTCCCCATTTTCTCCTCCTCAGAGAGCAGTGGGGTGGGTTGAATGAGGAGCACAAATTTTGCCACGCAAAGCGCCCCTCACAGTGCAGTGTTCAACAAACGTTGGCCCCCTTCCCCGAGTCCTGCACGCCGTGAGAAGTTCCCCTTCCCCGCGGGGCGGGGAGCCGAAATCCTGTGTGGGAGCGGCGGACACCCCAGGCAGGGCGCGGCGCGGGAAGGCGCCGAGCCCACGAGGCAGTCCCAGGCAGCGGAGTCCAGTGGGCAGCGCCGACTGCCTGAGGCCCTGTCCTGCTGCCTCCTCCCGGCCCTCCACCTCTGGTCCCCTCCCTTCTTCCTCCACCCTGCCTCGCTCCTCTCTTCCCTCCCTGCCTCTTCCTCCTCCAAGCCCTCCTCCAAGGAGTCCCTGCTCCCTAAGACAACGTGGCCAGCCCCACGTGGCCAGCCCCACGTGGCCAGCCCCACGTGGCCAGCCCCACGTGGCCAGCCCCACGTGGCCAGCCCCACGTGGCCAGCCCCACTAGTGCACATTTAGCGCCACTCAGGTCGCCGCTCCGGATTGGCCCTCGCACCCCTGGCCACGCCCTTTCTGGCTCCACGCCTCCGCGGACTCCGCCCCATCCCTACACGCCTGGCCTTCTGCTCTGGGGGCAGGGAGGGATCTTTGTCTCCGGATTTTTTCCTCTGCCTTCTCTTCTTGGTTCTTGTAGCCTCTCCTTTCTTCTTGTCTCAGACTTTCACCCCCTCCAGGTTTCTGGGCCCTTAACGTAGAGATTGGCGTCCGCTGCTGCGTTCCCCGCGCCCCCTCCACGCAGCCCTCTGTGAGTCCCAGCGGGCAGGGACGCGAGAGGCACCGCGCTGCGGAGGGAACCCTGGGCACAGCCTGGGTGCAATCAAATGCTGGGGGGCAGCTGCCCGGGCCGGGCCAGCTGTGCTGTGCTGGGAGGAGCCCTGGGCTGACGTCAGAAGATCAGCGTTCAAATCCGCTTCTGCCTCTTAGTGTCTTCGGACACTTAGTATCTTGGAACAAGCCATTTGGCTGCTTGGGCCTCAGTTTCCTTATCTGTAAAACAGGAGAGTTAGCATCGCGGGTGCTGTGGAATCTGTACCGCAGACTAGGGGCATGTGGCGTTCCTGCCCTCTGTTCTTTGCGGAAGGGGGGCTGGGAGCTGTCCGGGGAAGGGGAGGGAGGAAGGAGGGCAGAGGCCGCAGTGACTGGGACGGTGTGTCGGGCACCGTTCCAGACACTGCCACACAGGACGTCCCGTTTCATCCTCCCAGCCTAGCTCAGTGGATACTTCCAGCGAATGAGTGAGTGAATGAATGAGCACCGCACTGAGGAAGGTGCGGCAGCGTCATTAAATGAGGTGGCATGGTCCAAACACCTGGCATGTGCCTGACACAGCCAGCCCTCAACAAACGCTGGTCCTCTCCTGCTGCCTCCTAGACTGTCCCACTCCTTAGTGACGCACAATGCGGTACAATAGAAAGAGCGCTCGAGTTAGAGTCCAAAACACCTGCCTGTGAGTCCTGGTTCTTCCACTCATTGACTCACAACCTTGGGAAAGTCACTTAATTTCCCTGAGCCTCAATTTCCTCACTCGTAAAAAGGCGATAATGGTATTGCAGGGTGTATGAAGCACAAATGAAATAGATGAGGAAGAGCTGTGAAACAACAGGGCATGGTTCATAATGTTACCCTCCCTCCCTGCGGCCACGTGCTCCTCCGGGCTCAGCGCTGTCAACACCACCCAGGGCAGGTTCGGATCCCAACCTGGCAGGCCCTTGCACGGATGGCCCTGCCTTGTCACTCTGCTGCTTCCACCACTGCTCTGTGATGACATTCGCGGAGGCTCCACCGTGGCACAGCACCGGGCTTGGCCCACTCTAGCCGCCTGGCCTGCTGTCACCTCCTGTCCATTAAGCCCCAATCCAGATTTCTTTCTCTTTCAATTAAGCCACTTGGCCTTAAGGCCTCTGCCCCCCTGAGCCCTGATTTGCACGAACACCCTATGAATAGCTTTGATTAGAAAGAAAAACAGCATTTGGTGCAAGTGCTGCTCGGCACTGCCCTGAGTCCAGCAGGGGATGAAAGCCAATTTAACCAGGGCTGTTTCCTGAGAGACCGGGGACGGGCCAGGGTGGGGAGGAGATGGCAGGCGGGCCTCAGCCAGGCCTGAGGAGGCTGCCCCCACCTCCCCTGGCTCACGGCTGTCCCTGCCTTGTCTGTGCATTCTTGTGCCAATTCCACATTATTAACCTGGGGACACTGGGTCTCAATAGGACTCGTGTGCCAACCTCATGCCAAGAGGGGCATCGAAAGGCAGAGAAAGAAGGGGCAGCCTCAGGAGGGGTTCCCCAACCCCGCCTCTACCCTCCTAAAGTGTCACTGGGGCCTCACCACTGTCCCAAAACACACACACTTTCTACTCCAAAAAGCAAATATTTGGAAAGGGCCTTTAACATCCTCTTTCTAATTCAGCTTGGTTATATCTCTTTGAGTCACAGAACCCTTTGAGAATCTAATGAAAGCCATGGGCCCTTTTCCCCATTAATGTGCATATATATAACAAAATTTTTTATTATATTCAGGGTCTCTGTGAACCCTTGGAGCTTCCAGTAGACTGAGATTAAGAATTTCTGATCTAATTTCAACTATGTTATTTTATTATAGATGAAGACACTAAGGCCCAGAGAGAGCAAGTGACTTGCCTATGGTCACACAGCAAATTAGTAGCAGAGCCCATTCTGAAGCCATGGGCCCAGACTCCCAGTTTAATATTCTTTCCACTCCCCCTGATGGTGTCTCCCTCCCTTTTCCCCCCACATAGTGCCCTTGGTGAATCCCATTTTAGGGTCCAGCACAAAGGCAGGACAGTGTTTGCTCAGTGAGTGTGGTTATCCAGCCACCTGGAAGATGGAGCAGCTTCATTTAGCTGGTTCTTCTCTGCAGGGTGGGGTGCATATGGTTTGGTTCCAGAGACATGTGAGGGGGCTGGGTCAGTGGTTGGCTGGGCCTGTTCCGGGGTATTCTTGTGAACTCTGAGAGCTCCAGGCTATCACCAAGTGAGGGGCTGAGAGAAGTGTCCTCAGGCTACAGAGCAGGGGACCTGAAGCCTGCCCAGCCTTCTCCACATGCCAGCCACGACCTTAGCTTTTACCACCACCTCTAGCCGTCTCTGATCCTCCTCTGCTCTGGAATCCACACTGGCTCCCTAGTGCCTTAGTAGCAAATTCAGATTTCTCCCCCTGGTGTTTCCCCTGCAAAGGATAAGCTCATTTCTGCACTGAGGTCATTGCTCTTGTCCTGTCCCTAGCTGGTGTGTGAGTGTGAGCCAGCGGGAAGGCGGGCCGGACTCTGGAAAGTCCTCTGCCAGTCTGGGGCCTGGGGTGGGCATCTTGCGCTGCCTCACCAGCCTCTCTCCTCCAGGACTGCAGTGCAACGCGTCCGTGGACCTCATTGGCACCTGCTGGCCCCGGAGTCCCGCAGGGCAGCTGGTGGTTCGGCCCTGCCCCGCCTTTTTCTACGGTGTCCGCTACAACACCACAAGTAAGGAAGAAGGTGGCAGGGGGACCATCCGCTGGGAGGTGGGGCAGGACGGGGAGAGCTCGGAGGTGGGGGAAATAATAATAATGATGGCAATGACGGTAGTACTAATACCTCTGTGGATATAGCTGCTTTGCCAAAGGCTGGCTCTGGGCTCCGTGTTCTGTGCTCATTAGTGGTGATTATAATGACAATTCTGGGAGACACTATCACGGTTACATAACTAAGGCCTCTGGAGCTCAGAGAGGTTATAGAACTTGCCCAAGGTCACCAGCTGGAATTTGCATCCAGGTCTGTCTGACGCTTTAATCTGCAGGTGACAAAATGCAGGTTTGTCTGTGTGCACCGCATAGGTACTGTGGGGTAGGGTGGGATGGGATAGGTGGGCTCATCAGAACTGCCCCAACTTTGTGGCTGAGGACCCCAAGCTCAGAGAGGCCTTGAGAGCAGCCCTGGGGGACAAACAGTTTTAAATCCACGGATGGGGGCTCAACTTGCATCCCAGGTCCCTGGTGGGGCGGGGATGGGGCAGGACTGACCGAGGGCTGTTCAGATACTCGATCACCACGTAAACACCTTGCTCCCCTGAGGCGCAGGCTTTGCAGCTCCTTGCCACACCACCTGCCAGGCTCAGAGTTAATTTGCTCGCTCCTGTTGGTGACTCGATCCCTGCTTATCAAGAGGGCAACAGCTGCCCTCACCTGGCCCTGGGGTTGGGGTCTCCTTTGTGGGCCCCTGGGACCTGTGCACCTGAGCTCAGAGCCCCAGGAGGGCATCAGGGGTGACCACAGACACCAGGTTTGCTCCAAGACTCACTGTGCGGCCTCCTCTTACAGCCCTCCAGCCGCGTGTCTGAAGGTGGAGAGGGCTGGATGACATGCTTCTAAGACTTCTTCCAGCTCAGAACGCCCAAATTCCTTCTGCCTCTCATCCCGCTACCAGATGGATTAAGAGGATTAAGGCTGGGGCTAGGCCAGGGAGGTGGGAGGCCCCGGCAGGGGAGTGGGGAGGTCAGAGCAGGGCAGGAGGCTGAAACAGCCAGATCATGAAGCCTCATGTGTCCGTGCCACGTCCTGGCCGTGGGAGGGACCTGGAGAGGGTGACGATAACACTGGGAGGGGCGTGGGGACCAAGGGGAGGAAATGCAGAAGGGAAGAAGGGGAGAGAGACCTCTGGGTCGAGTCAGTCCAAGAGGAGAGTTGCGGGGTGCACAGTTGGCCAGCCTCCAATTTGTGAGGCTCATTTTACAACAAGGCAATTGAGGCACAGAGAGGCTAATCACCTATGCAAGATCACAGAGCTTGGAGGCAGAGTCAGAACGAGAGAACCAGAGCTCTCCCCTGCTCCACTCATGGTGCTGTGGCCTGAGTCCTTCTGGAGCTCCCAGGAAGGAGGCAGAGTCTGGGCTGCCGCATCGGGGGCTTCCAGAGGAGGCACCAGCACCTGCCAGTTCCACCTGCACAAGGATTGTCACGTCTGATCCTGCCCTCATTCCCCAATGCCACTACTCCAGCAGAAGGTTCTAGATCTGACCCTGTCACACTCTCCCTTGGAATCCGCCCTTGCCTCCCCATTGCCTCCATGGTCAGGCCCACGCTCCTGAGTGGGGCCTGCCCGGCTCTCTGTGGTCACCGCCCTGGCCACCCCCAACGATCTCCTTCCACGCTCGTCCTCAAGGGTTACTTGACATGCCCCAAATAGGTGTTTTCAGACTTTATTTCCTGGGCACACGCCACTCCACACCCTGCCTCTGGTGCCAGCCGGGAGTCCTGGGTTCTTATCCCAGCTCCATCTGCAACTGGTTAAGGAGTCCTGGGCCTGGGCCTCTCTGGGCCTCAGTTTCTCTGCCTGCAAGGTGACGGGGGTTTCCTGAGATGTCTCTGGGCTCCCTCACTCGACCCTCTGAGATCCCAGGAAAGGAGCTGGGGCGAGGGTCCCTCAACGTGGGCGCAGCACGTCAGGGCAGGGCGGGAGACGCCCTTGCCAGCTGCCCCACACCAGGGATGCAGACACGCCCGGGCAGTCAGCATCAAGTGGGTACCCAGAGTTGTCCCTAATCATTAGTCACTAATTAATTCATTCACTGATGAGGTGCTGCCAGGAGTTCTAGGCCTTTTCCTTAACACCCTCCCTCCTGCTGCATCCGATCTTCAAAGGGATGGGAAGCATTTCCAAAAATATCCATTTTCCCGTGATCCTTCGGGAGGACTGCTCAGCTCAGCAATTAAAGACAAGGAGGTCGCATCCTCCCTGGCAACGACTCCCCGCTTATTGGGCCTGCTTTCTTTTGGGTCACCCCCTCCTGCCCCATCAGAGCCTGCTCCCTCCGGATGACCGGCCTTGGGAGGGACTCCCGGCTCCCCACCCAAATGTGGGATGCCAAGCGGGGCGTTGGGCGAAGGTGTCTCCTCCCGAAAGCTCTACCGGTGCTCCCTTTGAGAGGGACAAGTGACATGTTCTGAATCTCATGCAAGGTTATATAAATACAGCTCCAAGACAATCATAATAAAAACTAACAGCGAATCCCACATGCCAGGGACAGCCCCAAGCCCTTTGTGCATGTTAACTAAAAGTACTCAGCCTCTGAGGTAGGAGCCATTATTAAGATCATTGTAACTCACAGGTAAGGAAGCTGAGGGCTTGTGTGGTTTGCCCAAGGCCGCACAGCTAGCGGGGGTGGTGCCAGGGTTTGACCCAGGCTGCGTGGGTCTAGGGGCCGGCTCTGTGCTTCTCCTCTTCAGGCAGGAACCGCCCCGCCCCGCCCCACCCCTTCCCGCCAGACCTGTGCCCAAGCCCCTCTCCCCACAGACATTCCAGAGCAGCCCGTGGTCCCAGGCACTTCCGGCTCCAGACCCCCCTGCCTCAGCCCTCTGCTAGCTCATCCCTCATTTAGCAATTAGGAGAGAACGCGCAGCCTCTTCCAACTCTGCCCAAGGGCGCGACGCTGCCTGAGACTCAGGTCCACTGACAGGGAAGCCGGCAGAGCTTTAAAAATCCATTCTGCCCGATTTCCCCACTGGCAGCCGTGGTGAGAGCATCGCCTCTCCGCAGAGGGGCCTGGGAGGGGAGGGGGCGAGAGCGGGGAGCTGGCAGCCTTCCAGCCAGGCTGGGGGTGGGGGTGGAGGGCAGGCATCAGCTCTCCTCCCCAGCCTCACCTCCCTCCTGTCGTGGTGCTGCCTGCGAGTGGAGGCAGCTCCCAGGCTGGATGGCCCGGCCTCCCCTTACAAGGGAGGAGAAGGGGCGGGAAGGTCGCTCCCACAGCCCAGCGGCCGCAGAGCCCGGCGGGGCCCTGGCCTCTGGCTCCCTTGCAGGGTTCCACCCCTGCGGGGCTCCAGACCAGCAGCTGGGACTCTGGCAGCTCCCCCAGCCCTCTGCAGCCCCCTCCGGCGGAGCCTGCAGTGAGGGAGGCTCAAGGGAGGTGGCTCGGGGTTTAAGTCCTCTCCAGCCAGCGCTGCCTGGAGTCAGAGCCAGAATTAATTCAAGGAAATGTGTTTAAAGCCGCTGATGCCAAAGCAGGGTGCAGGGTAGGGTGGGCGACCTCGCCAGCAGAGGAGACAAGGTAGAATTTAGAACTCCCTGGGTCTCTTCCCTACTGGATTTTGGGACCCTGGTGCCCAAGGGGATAGGCAGGAAGGAGGTGAGAGGGACCCTTTGGGCAGCTCTGCCTTCCCAGAGCCCTAAAGCCAGGCGTCACGTTGGCTCGCAGGACCCCCGTCCACCTCCGTGCAAGGGGACAGGTTCTGGGCCACAGTCCAGGCTGAGGCTGCACAGAACCCCCACCCCACCCCCTGCCTCCTTCTCCCAGTGCCAAGGGCAGGCTCACAGCAGTCCCGTGAGACTCACCTGCATGATACCCCCCAGCACACTCCTATGCCTGTCATTTTCTGGCCCAGAGACCTCCATGGTGGCTGTTCCCATCCCATGACCTTCCGACATGAGGCCCACATGGGGAAATGCCACCACGGGGACCTTCCCAAGACCTGCCCTGTGAGCCCCCCATGTGAGACTGCCACGTGAGGACCTCCCACGTAAACCTCCACTATGGATGGACCTGCCCCAAGAAACCCTGTCATTGAGATTTGCCACATGAGCTGTCACCACACACCCCTCGTCATCAGATCATGCCCAGCCTCGTGAGAGTTGACTCATGAGATCTCACCATGCTGTTTCCTGTCATGCAAGACCCCAAAACGGGAGACTGCTCAGAAGAGCACCCACCACGTCATCTCCCACCACAGGAGGGCTCACAGGGAAACCGGCCCGAGAGCTGGGCAGGCCTGTCCACGGGCCAGTCCTGTGGGCACGACTGTGCCAGCTTGGGTGGGCAGAGCCGTGGCCCACAGGCGGGCATTAAGGGAGGCACTGACCCCTGCTGGGGGACAACACGCAAAAATAGGCAGGAGGACAGGACAGAGAGGAAGCCCCTCTCCCCAGCGTCACTCCACAGCCCCCAGCCAGCAGGCCTCTGTGCTGGCCCAGACGGGCAGACGGACGGACAGACAGATGCCTGCTGCTTTCCGCTCACTGCCTCTCTCTCCTTTTCCCAGACAACGGCTACCGGGAGTGCCTGGCCAATGGCAGCTGGGCTGCCCGCGTGAACTACTCCGAGTGCCAGGAGATCCTCAACGTGGAGGTGAGGCTGAGCGGGCCAGGCTGCCCGCACTGAGGGGGTCCAGGGCCCCTGGCAGGGTTTCATGCCCGCTGTGTGGCCGGCCAGTGTCAGGGAGCCAGAGGCTGATTCTGGGGGAGCAGGTGCCCCGGGGAGGGCTGAGCCGCCTCCTTCCTGCTGCTCACGCTCATCGGGGGCGGCTGCAGGTGCTGGGCAGGGACCGTCCCCAGGTGCAGAGTCAGGCCAGACACAGTCACGGCCTCCCCACCCATTTCCACCCCCCACACCTGAGGGGTATGTCACGGTCCGGCCATGGGGCCTGTATTGGAACCAGGGATGGGGGTAGCAGTGCAGTTTGAAAAAGACCTTGGAGATCCTTTTTAAAATGTAAATGATTTTGAGTAGATATTGCAAAATCCAAAAGGTACAAGTGGGAATACAGTGTCTCCCTCGCACCCCATCTAAACACTGCCTCCCCGGGTTGCCAATTTCCTAAGTGCTCTTCCAGAGACATTCTCTGCATATACGAGTAATTATATATATATATATACATTCTTTTTTGTTTTTATCCAAATGCGGCATATTATTCATACTGTTCTACACCTTGCTTTTTTCACATAATCATCTATCTTGCCAAAGGAGGTCGTTTTATATCAGTACATAAAGAGCATCTTCATTCTTTTTTACATTTGCATAATATCACATTGTGCCATAATTTATTTAACCAGTCTTCAGTTATTACAAACAGTGCTGCAATGAATAATCTCTTAAGGGTGACATGTGGCAGTGGCATGGATAGATCTGTCCTCTGGCGTTGCTGCTACCCTCCATCCCCCTGTCTCCTCCCACACACCTCCCGCCACTTTCTCAGTGGGTGCTGAGGAAAGTGAGGGTCAAAGGGTGGATGTCCCAGGCTGTCCGAGGGCCCTGGGCTTCTGGGGTGTGGGAGAGAGTTCTGAGAATCCCATCCCTGAAGATCTGAGTTGGAGGGGACCTGAGACCCTCCCTCCCTCCCTCCCTCCCTCCCTCCCTCCCATCTTGAGGTTCCCAGGCTTATCTGGGAATCTCACCCAGAGCGCATGTGCAAATACAGGTCCCGGCTCTAACACTTGAGAGAGCAAACTGTCCAGGAAGGACCTGGGAATCTGCATTTTATTATAACAAATGCCCCAAGGGAACCTTCTGATGGGGCAAAAGTGAGAAACTCTGATCTAGCGCAACCCATTCATCGTACAGATGGGGAGACTGAGGGCCCAGAAATGGGGAGTGACTCATGAAAGGTCACGTGGCCAGAGTGAGGCAGAGCCTGGAACCTGGGGCTCTCGAGCCCAGGCTGCACTGTGCCTGCTGCCAGGAGCCTGGCGTGCAGCAACAGCTCTCCCGACCTGTGGCGCCCACCCTGACCCTGAGCGCTTTGGTGAGACCCTCCCCGGGCTCCCTGGCCTTTCATGGCTGAGCTCTTGGGGCTCTGCTGTCTCCTTCTGGAAACTGCAAAAATAGGGTGATATTCAGCCTAAAAGAGTGACGAGCTGTTTCAGGGTGCTGCTCTAGCAGGGCGGGTGCAGGGCGAGGGGCTGCTGGCATCTCAGATCCCAAGGGCCAGACTGAAGGCTGGGGCGGGTTGGCCGGGCTCCCTGATGGTCTGACCTGAGCAGAGACAGCTGCCAGGTTGCTAAGCCCCCACCCAGTGGGCCAACCTGGGAAGCTGGGGAAGAGGCGCCCTCCTGGGCTGGGGAGGGAAGTGGGGTTCCAAGTCAGGAAACTTAGCTGGGCCAGAGGAGATGGCCTTGGGTGGGGGCGGGGTGGGAACTCACACGGAGGGGGGGCGGCACTGGAGGGGAGGTGGGAGGAAAGGAAACAGGGCAGTGCTTAGACAGGCAGGTCAGTGCTGTGGGCAACTCGACTCAAAAACCACATTCATGCCCACAGAGGCACAGACGTGCCAGGTCCCTCCATCGCACCCACCTCTGCTCTGATGGTCCTGAGGGGTCTGCAGAGCCTGAGGCAGATGTATTTATTTCCAGCTGGAGGTCAGGCCGCCAGCTGCCCTCTCCCCACCCCAGAGGGGCAGGTCAGCTGCTGGCAGCCCACTCCCTGCACCCGCCCCTCCGGATGGTCAGGGCAAGGTCTTCACTGTTCACCAAGTCCCTCCTGCTCTCACGGAAGCCCCTCCCTTCCAGCTGGCTGGCTGGCGGGCACACTCTGCAGCCCCCGCTTCTTGCCCCTCCCCGCCAGCAGGGCCAGGGCAGGGAGAGGATTAGGTGACCCCAGCCTCATCGGCCCCTCCTTGGCAGTGCAATGGGAACAGCATGGGCTTGGGGTTTGGATTTCAGCTGTACATGCTATGTGACCTTGAGCAGGTAACCTAACCTCACCAAGTACCCTAAATGGCTGAGAGTTATTCAGATCTCTGCCTCCCGGTAGGTGGGAGGGTGGTGCTGGCCTATGGAGGACGGTCCATCTATCTGCCACCCCTCTGTCTCTCATCTCACCTGTGAGTTCAGGGGAAGTCGTATGTGCACCTGGGGCAGGGGTGGCTGGGTAACATGGGCATCCCCACCTCCCCCACCACCCCCGCCAGGATGCAGTGACCCCTCCCACTCCCGCCCACCTCTGCCTGGCTTTGCCACTGCTAGTAGCTCCTGCTGGCCTGAGGCTTGGCACTCTGGGTAATCAATTAATTAAATTAGTGAGAATGCCATCCCCTCTGCCAGCCCCCAGCCTCGCCAGACCCCTCCCCACTCCCAAGACTCCTCACCCCATCCCGGAACTGCAAAGAGGAATGTAGCCAATTAATTGAGTGGCAGGTTTCTCAGCTCTGGGCAGAGCCCTAATTAAGCATCAGCGCCCTGGGGTATCACAGCAGACCGGCTTCAGCTTCGAAGAAGTCTGCGTGTGAAATGGGACTTGAGAGGGCACCCCAAGGCCAGGCACCCCAGAGACCTGCCCACAGCCCGCACCACCAGGGGACAGGCCCCCATGCACTGCCTGGTGGGGGGTGGGGGATGGCACTGAGCCCCCAGTACCACCTGCACCAGCCCTAACTGCCCGTTCCAGCACCCTGCCCCATCTCCCTCCACCACCATAACCTTCCCCAGTCCTGACTCACACTCTCCCCCTCCCCCATGCCACTGCCAGTAGGGGTCAGTGCCCCAGGCATATCCTGGGAGGACACCTTGGTAGGACATCAAAGGGACCCCCGTGTGGGGTTCACTGCTCATGGTGGGGGTAGATGGGAGTGGAGGTTGGGCCAGGGCTTCTGAAACACTAAGGTGCTTAGGGATCCTCTGGGCTTCTTGCAAAAGAGACTCTAAGTCAGCGGGTCTGGGATAGGGCTTAAGATTCCACTTTTCTCAAGGTTTCTGCCGGCTCTGGCTGGGCTCTGAGACGCTGATGTTGCCAGTTCAGGGACCGCACTTTCAGGAGCCAGGGCTGGAGTACAGTGGGGGTTAAGGGGGGCAGCTCAGGAAGCCCAGATGGAGAGGACACCCTGCAGAGTGGGGGGAGCCTGGACAGGAGTGCAACAGAGGCTGTGGGGCTCAGAAGGGGCGGCGGGGTCCGGGCAGGGAGGGGTCATTGCCGCCCTGCCAGCAAGGCCTCGGGGCAGGTCTGACTCCACCGCCATCTGGGACAACGTGGTGAGTTGCAGAGTCTGCTCAGAGCCAGCCGGGCACCAGCTGCTTACCAGACTCTGGGTGTCGGGGGACACAGCAGAGGGGCCTCTGCCCAGCACCACGCCGGGCCACCTCCCTCGGGCCACCTGCTGTCTTAGGTCTCCAAACGGGACCGGGACAGAGTGCTGGTCAGGTCCCCAAGGACCGGCTGTGTCCCAGCTGCTCCTGCAGGTGTTAGTGGCCATCTCTCAGGGTGTCACCAGGTGTCCCTTCGGGTGTTGCTGGCTGTTCTCTCCAGGTGTCACTGGCCACTTCTCAGGGAATTGCTGCTTTCTCTTAGAGTGTCACTGGCCATCTCTCAGGGTGGGCTGATGTCTCTCAGGGTATTGCTGGCTCTCTAGGTAATGCTGGCCACATCTCTGGTTGTTACTGGAAATTCCTCGGTGTCACTGGGTGTCGCAGGACCTATCTGTCTCTCAGAGTATTGGTGGCCACCTCTCCGGTTGTTCCTGGCCATCTCTAGGGTGACACTGCCGTCTCTCAAGCTGTCTTCTCAGGCTCTATCTCTCAGACGGCAGCAGCTCATGTGCCAGGTGAGACGGGGGCTCAGACCTGGCCCTGGCCAGTAGGCTCAGGGAGTCACATAGAGACTTTGTCCCCTGGAGTGGTCTGGCCTGGGTGTCCCTGTCAGGCTCCATAGAGAAACACCCTCCGGAACCCCCCCTCCCCCCATGGCAGCCCCCCGAGGCTCCTGAGCCCAGAACGGAGCAAGACCTCCCCAGAGAGGGCTTCTGTTTTCAGTTCCTGTTTGTCCCCCAAGAAATGTACCACAGGGACAGGGAAAAGAGGGACTTTAAAGCCAGGCAGACCCTGGTTCCGGTTGCTGGCTGTGTGGCATGGAGCAATTATTTCGCCTCTTCAGCCAGAAAAACCGGGATGAAAGGGCCAGTCTCAGAGGGCAGTTGTGAGTAAAAAATCCCAGTGACATCAGTGAAGCACCTGGCACCGTGCTCAGCACATAGCAGGTGCTTAATCAATGACTCCTCCCACCCAGCCCAAGGTCCCAAGCACTGCCTGGCCTGGGTGAGGTGGGGGTGCTGGCGGGGGGTGGCAGTGGAGGGCTCCCCGCACCCCTGCGCCGCCCGTCCAGCCGGGCCTGCGGACACGCGCACTCCGCAGATGTTGTCATTACCCAGGGGCTTCTCAGCATGGATTCGTGGAAAATTTAATAAAGGAAATTAAATACCAGCTCCAGACAGCCTGCGATGTGTGTGTATCTTCCGGAGCCTCTGGATCGTGGCATCTGCCGCCAGTCGCTCAGGAACCCTCCCCATTTGCATGAGCGACCGGTGCCCTTTGCTCCCCTCCCCTCTCTCCGTCCCTCTCTGGCCTGCCGCCATTTACATGTCCCTGGGTCCCCGCCCTTCCAAGGCCCAGTTGCTAATGTGATTTCCTGCCAAGTTCCAGAAAGCCCCTGCCGGGAAAACCAGTTCCCAGCATCCCAGCACCAAGAGGGTCTCCAGTGAGGACGCCCCTCAGCGGGCTCAGCAGCCGGGGCAGTGGGGCAGGGCAGCTTGGCCCCTTCTGGGATGCCTGACGGATAGGGCAGGCCCTGATCCCTGGGGACAGCTCTGACTTCAGTGGATTCTGTGTTCCGACAGGAAGGTCCTCAGAGGACCAGGAGCTCTTCGGTGGCTCTGGAAGGATGACAGGGCTGCTGTGAGCTCGTCCTTGTATCGGCACTTGGGGGTCACCAGTTTCTGTGCATTGTCATCCTCAGCCCCACCCTAGAGCCAAGAAAGGGAGAGGGAGGGAGGTGCCAACGGGGACACCCCCTTCTCAAAGCCAGCCGCTTTCCAACGTCCATGCTCCTTCCCCCACTCACACACAGGCACGGAGCCCCCCTGTTCAGCCCTGTCTTCTCAGGTCCCAGAAAAGGGAGGATGGAGGCTTTGCTGTCGGGGTGCAGGAGCCTGCAGAGAGCTGGGCACAGGGGACTGGCCAGTCTCCCATTATGGGCTGGGGACCTGTTTGTAGCCTTAGTGTCTTGCCAACCTGGCTGTGCAGGTAAGAGGTGGTTTTGAAGTTGAGTGACCTTGCGTGAGGCAACCTACCTCTGGGTCTGTTTTCCTGCGAAATCAGGTACAGACGCCCTTCCAGCTCTTCCCCCGGGCTTGCTTTGAGGTTTAAGAAAATAAAAGACACGAAAATCCTCTGTAAATGGCTTCATCACTCTTGGAGCTTAAGATGATTAGAAAGTAGAGGGCAGTCGCCTACATCAGTATATTAAATTAATTAAGAAATAAAATCAGGGAATTTGTGATAGTCCCAGTAGGGCACCCCGTTGGCTTCATGCAGAGGCCCTGGCCGGGGACGTGAGGCCCCGGGGGTGAGTCGTGCAGCCTGGAGAGACTTTGTGGTTGCCGACTGAGGGTCCCTTCCTCGCTCCTGGGAGCAACTGCAGTGGGAGGGACGTGAGGCCCCGGGGGTGAGTCGTGCAGCCTGGAGAGACTTTGTGGTTGCTGACTGAGCGTCCCTTCCTCGCTCCTGGGAGCAACTGCAGTGGGAGGGACGTGAGGCTGACCGAAAAGGTGGTGACGCAGAGCAGAAATGGGCAGGGGAAGAAGTCCTGGGAGGTAGGTGTCTCTGCACCCCTGGGGCCACCTGGTGCTTTGACTGAATGGAAATGTGGCCACTGCAAGTGTGAGGGCTCCCCTGTGAACCGGCCACACGTTTGTGCACTCGGCGGGGGATCCCCTGTGATGGGGAGGTTCTCTTCACCCGATCTTTGTCCAACAACCTGGAGCGGGGGACAGAGCATGGGATTCAGGGACAGACAGACAGAGCCTCGATTGACGCGCTGCTGCAGAGCGACGCCTGACACACAGCAGGGGCTCCACACGGAGCACCGTGGGGATTACCTGCTCCGTCCTGGCCACCACCCCCCCCCCCGGCACTGTCCTCGTAGAGCTGCTCACATCCAGTGGGCACAGGGGCATGGCCGTGCAGGAGCCTCACCTCTCGCTTCTCTCCTGCTCCAGAAAAAGAGCAAGGTGCACTACCATGTCGCTGTCATCATCAACTACCTGGGCCACTGCATCTCCCTGCTGGCCCTCCTGGTGGCCTTTGTCCTCTTTCTGCGGCTCAGGTGAGAAGGCCCTGCGATGCCTCCTCCTGTCCCCACCCTGAGCAGAGTGGAGTAGATGCAGGGGCAGCTCTGGGGAGGGGGGTGCTGGAAAGGGGACGTCCTACCCTCCCCTCGGTGTGGGGGACATCGTATGTATGCAGGAGTCTCGGGTTTCTTGGGACCATTGGCAGAGCCGCACTGCTCCTCCCCAATAGCTGCTGGGGGCACAGGGTGGGGAGGGAGGAGGCCCAGGCTCACCTTGTGTCACCCACATCCAGGTGGAGCCCTGGAAGGGGGGGCTCCATAGAGTGGCACCCTTTTTAGGTTTGAAAATGCCTGGGCCCCAGCACTGTTGCCAAGGATGCAGGTGGCAGGGGCGGGACAGGGGGCAGTGGGAGCAGGGCTAATGCTCCGCTCTCCATCCTGTGACGGCAGGGAGTGGAGGGTGCCCTGGGGGCAGCCTTGGTCCAGGGAGCATGTGCGGAGTGCCAGGCACAGCCCCCAGGAGCTTACGTCTGGCCGCGTGGGGCCTCAAAAGAGCCTTGTTGCCACCTCCCCGTGTGACTTGGCCGATCAGCCTTGCACGGCCTCAGTTTCCCCACCCCTACATCTGGGCTGGAGCAGCGCTGGTGGCCTGTGCCTTATCTGCTCTCCTCCTGTCACTCCCGCCATCCACCCGCTCCGCTCCCCAGAAGCATCCGGTGCCTGCGGAACATCATCCACTGGAACCTCATCTCAGCCTTCATCCTGCGCAACGCCACCTGGTTCGTGGTGCAGCTCACCATGAGCCCCAGGGTCCATCAGAGCAATGTGGTGCGTCCTGTGGGGAGCAGGAGGGGCCACGTCCAGATCAGAGGAAGGCCGAGGAGGGGGTCCCCTGCAGGGGAAGGGGTTGCGCCCGGCCTCGGAGCCATGGGCCAGGGACAGGACCCCACGGTGTGTGTGCCCCATCCTGTCCAGAGGGGGCCCAGGCCCGGGTGGGGTGCTGCCCCTCCTCCATCACCAGCTCTGGTTGGGGGTGGCAGGGCTGGTGCAGGCTGGTGACAGCTGCCTACAACTACTTCCACGTGACCACCTTCTTCTGGATGTTCGGTGAGGGCTGCTACCTGCACACGGCCATCGTGCTCACCTACTCCACCGACCGGCTGCGCAAGTGGATGTTCATCTGCATCGGCTGGGGTGAGCTGGGACCCCGCCTGCCTTCTCCTCACCAGCCTCAGGCCGGCAGGCTGGGGACCTGAGGATAGAGCCAGGTTGGGGTGGTGGGGTGTGCCATGTCCCTCTGCCCCTCACTGGGGGCGGGGGGTGCATGACTCCAGCTCAACCCCAGCAACCCCTAACCCCCCTGACCCTCGGGTATACCGGGGGCCTCCAGGCTTGGCATCCCCTGGCCCCCACTGAGGGGCTCTGTGACGCCCCCTCTCTCCCCCAGGTGTGCCTTTCCCCATCATTGTGGCCTGGGCCATTGGGAAGCTGTACTACGACAATGAGAAGTAAGTCACCTGCTTCCCCTTCTCAACCTCCGGGCCCCGGCTCCCCACCCAGCTCTGCTGACACTCCCCGAGGACTGGGCCATGCCTGCCTCCCCTCAGGATGTGGTTTCTGCATCTATAAGGGGAAGGAGTTGGGGGCGGGACTCAGTCCAAGGGTCCCTCCCCTCCCAGGGGGCTGGACAGGCGGGATCCAGTGTCCTTTAACTGCCTCGAGCTTACACAGAGGCAGTCTGGAGCCAGACTGCCCAGGCTCTGAGTCACGGCTCCATCATTAAATAGCTGATTACTCAGTGTGCCTCAGTTTCCTCATCTGTAAAATGGACACCCTAATAATAGTGCCTACCTCAAAGGGTTGTTGTGGAGGTGACATGAGTTAATATATATTCAGCCTTTAAATAGTGCCTGGCAGATAGTAAATGCAATTTGAATGTGTCCTATTAAGACTTGTTTTAACAAAAGATTCCATGAATTTGATAGAAACTGATCCAGATGATCTCAGAGGCTCCTTCCAGCTCTGAGGCCCTGTGGTGCCTTATAAAATGGACTCAGGTGTGCCCAGCCACTCCTGAAAACTTGATTTCTGCCACAGTGGTTCTCAACCTTGGCTCACATTAGAGCCACCTGGGAAGCTTTAAAAAGTACCAATGACCAGGTATCACCCCAGAGAGTCGGATGTAATCGGTCCGGGCTGTGGCCTAGAACTTAGATTTTTAAAAAACTGTCTAGATGATTCCAGTGTGCATCTGAGATTGAGAAAGATTGAAAACCACTGAGAGAGAGAGAGAGAGAGAGAGCGAGAGCAGGTGGACATAGATGGGCAAGGGAGGCTCCAGGATCTTTTTTGGCCAAAGAAGTGTTCTCAGGAGCCCTCTTTCTGACGGGGCCCAGGCAGCCTCCATCACAGTGGCGAGCCCTCTCCTCCCCCACAGAGGGGACGGGGCCTCTGCAGCCTCGCTGGGCTCCACGTGGAGCCGGGAAGATTATCTTCCATACTGATGAGGCTGCTCTGTGCACTGTGGGCGGGTTGGGGACCAGCTGGGTTGAGCCCCAGAACAGGAGCTTTGTAAACCCTGGCGATGGTGCCTGTCCCTGCAGGTGTGTGTGTGAGTACAGGAGGGGGTGGAAGAACAGGTTTCAGAAACCTGCTGTGTGTGTGCATGTGTGTGTGTGCATGTATATGTGTGTGCACACGCGCTCGTCTTGGAAGAGCATTTCTGGGCTGGAGGAGAAAGTGGGTCTGAGTGGCTCCGACACCCCACCTAGTGGTGAGATGCTGACGGCGCAGCAGAGGCCTGGGTGTGAGAAGCCAGAACTTGGAGACCAGAGGCGGAAGGACTGGACTGGGTCCTCAAAAAGCTGCCTTTGGCCTAACGGTGTTTTCAGAAGACTTGATTTTGTAGCCAGCCTTTACAAAGTCAAAAGATTTCACATAAAAATCCCAAGTTCTGGCTTATGGAGGCACTGTGTGATCTCCCCACTGCCCACAGGGCTTCCCGTCCCTGCCCACTCCCCAGACCTCCCGGGGCCTTGCTGGAGGGAAACTTGTGAAAATGCAAAGCGATGCTGCCACCTGCGACAGGTGGGACCTGTGCAAGTCTCCCCCTCAAGGTCGATCAGGCTGCATTTGAATGGACTTAGGCAGATTGCTAACTGTTGGGTGCAAGGCTAACTGTTGGGTGCCACCCTGTGTGCTGCTACCCCACAGCACCCCAGGGGCAGCTGAGCCTCGGCCACTGCCAGGGGATGGCCAGGAGACGGGGCAGCGGTGGTGTATGGGGCCTGTTCCTGGCCACAGTGTCTCCCACGTACCCTCCCAGCCGTGGCGCCTGCTTCCAGCTCTACATCTCCCCACAGGGGGTGCTGTCCTCCTGCAGATGGGGCACCTGAGGCACTGCAGTGGGGTCGAGTGGCTTGACCTTCTGCCAGGGTGGATTTGGGGCACCCACGTCCTGGCTTCTGGCCCCAGTCCCACCCTGGCTGAGCACTGCCCCTCACGCCACTGACCTGGACCCAGATGACCCTCCAGTCCCCTTCCCTCTGTGGCCTTCTAGGTGCTGGTTTGGCAAGAGGCCTGGAGTGTACACCGACTACATCTACCAGGGGCCCATGATCTTGGTCCTGCTGGTAAGAAGCTGGGTGGGGACAGGGGACAGGGGGCTGTGGGGGGGTGCCATCTGTGCTGATCATGGACAGAAAGATCTCTCTGTCTGGAGGTGGGGTCAGCCAGAGAGGGGGCACAGGCCAGGCCTGTGCAAGTGCTAATGCGGAGGAGGGCGAGCAGCCGGGGCTCCGAGCCCAGGACCTGGCACATCTCCACACCCGTCCCTCCCGCCCATGTGCTCAAATTGCAGATCAATTTCATTTTCCTTTTCAACATTGTCCGCATCCTCATGACCAAGCTCCGGGCATCCACCACCTCTGAGACCATTCAGTACAGGTGACTGGGCCCCACCTCTCCCACCCCTGGGGCAGTTTAGAGCCGGAGTCCCCTCCAGGCCTGGCAGTCCTGAGACCTGCCACTCCCTCCTCCGTCCCCCACCCCTGCCCCCCCCCCAGCCAGAGGCAGCCCCTCTGGGCTGGGCTGTGACTCTGGCCCCCACCGGCCCCACCACAGGAAGGCAGTGAAGGCCACCCTGGTGCTGCTCCCACTCCTGGGCATCACGTACATGCTGTTCTTCGTCAACCCCGGGGAGGACGAGGTCTCCCGGGTTGTCTTCATCTACTTCAACTCCTTCCTGGAATCCTTCCAGGTACAGCCGCCCTCCCCTCCCTCCAGCCCTGGATGGGCCAGGCCTGCACCTCCTCGGGTGGGCTTCTCCTGGGCAAGAGGCTGGGGGAGGCCAGATGGGGCTGCACCTCCTGCCCAGGCCTGTGACCGGCCTTGTCTGTCCTCCCCAGGGCTTCTTCGTGTCTGTGTTCTACTGCTTCCTCAACAGTGAGGTGAGGACCGGGCTGGGCTCAGGGTGGCGGAGGCCTGTCGGGGCTGGAGGCCGTCCAGAGCCTCCTCCTGCCCTCCGTGCTGGCTGCCTCTCCTCCCAGGTCCCTTGGTGGGGGCCCTGCCACCTGCCCACTCTGCCGCTGCGCTCTCAGAGCCATCGCCTGGGCGCCTGGCTCCGTCTCACGTCTCACGAGTCTGGGAACCCCGGGCAGGGCCAAGTGCGGGGCAGGGAAAGCGTGCGGGTCGGGGGCAGGGACTCCTCATGGCGGAGGCCATGTGGTGCCCTTGTGTGGACTAGAGAAAGGTGCCCCTTCCTCAGGACACGGGAGAAAATTGTCCCAACAAACGTGAGCGTCAACGGGGTTCCCAGAGTTGAGCGTTGCCGCCCCTGTGGGCGCCCGCGCACCGCCCGCCTGGAGAGCTGCTCCCGACGGCGGCCTGCGCAGCCCAGGGGAGGGGCCTGGGCCCCAGGCTCAGGTGTGCCCTGCCCTGTGCCCACAGGTCCGCTCTGCCATCCGAAAAAGGTGGCACCGGTGGCAGGACAAGCACTCGATCCGCGCCCGGGTGGCCCGTGCCATGTCCATCCCCACGTCCCCCACCCGCGTCAGCTTCCACAGCATCAAGCAGTCCACGGCGGTCTGAGCTGCAGGGCCGTGGAGCGGCCCCCTGAGGCTGGGCCGGGATGACGGCCAGGCCCGCTGACCACCTGTCTGCGGGGCGCCCCGCTCCTTCCCACGCCCTCCCCGCCAGGAGCAGCTGGCACGAGAGCCTGGGAGGGCCTCGCTGCAGCCTCCGCCCAGCAGGAGTTCTAGATCCTGGGAGCAGTGGAGCCTGAGCCGCAGGACGGACAGTCACCTGCAGGACTGGGCTGTGCCAGGGCCGCTGGAGAAGGGAAGTGGGAATGAATGGAGGCAGAACCGGAAACCCGCAGCACACACACGTCCCTTCAGAGCACAAGAAGACCCACTGGGTCCTGGGGCTGCTGCCCCAGGGGCATCATGGGAAACTCTCACGACAGCATCTGAGTCACCAGAAGCTGCCTCCGGGGATGCCGCCTGGCAGCGCTGGGAACCCAGGCCACGTGCCCAGGAGCCCTGGAGATATCATCAGACGTCGGGCCACTTCACTAGCAATCACTCCCAACCCTCCAGAGCTTCACTGGCCCTGTGGCAGTGCCACCGGACATGCCCTGCCTTGCTGCCTTGCACCCTCCGATGTCTACTACCCTGCAGGCCAGGCTGGCTTCCCACTCCACCTGGATGCTACCCTCACTCCCATCGCCCCGCCCCAGCTGTTTCCCCATTGTGAGAAGATGGGGGCTGGGAGGAGGGCAGGGCAGCCTGTGAGCGAGAACCAGGTGTGCCCGGCCAGGGCCAGTCCCCCTCTGGGGTGGGCAGAGAGCTCTTGGGGGCCTCCAGCCTGCCAGCTGCCCCGGCCTCGCGCGCAGGATCGCTAGCTAACAAGAGACGGGAGAAGGCCCCTCTCTGTCCAGGTGCCCTGGAGCAGGACAAGTGGCTCTCGGGACGAGCTCCTGGCTGGCAGATCACTTTCACCCCAGAGGGGGACTGGCCCAGCCCCCACCGGACCCACCCATGTCCAGAGTGACTGGACAGCCAGCGGGGCATGTGAGGGGCCCCTAGAAGATGCGGGCATCAGCTGGGAGCGGGTGGCTGATGTGAAAATAATATTTATCTTTTGAACCAGCATTTGTAAAGTCCTGGACTCTGCCGGGGCTGGGTGGGGAGGGTGCCTCGGAGAAGCGGGGGCCGTTTTCAGCCTTCAGGGGCTGCTGTGTTGCTGTGGACCTGACACTACTCACACCTGGCCAAGGATGGGGTGCTGGGTGAGCCCCTGACGGCCGGGAGGGGCGGGGGCAGGGGACTTAGAGGAAGGAGGGGGTCTGGCCAAGGCCAGTTAGTTGGGGGTAGCTCTTTGCAAAGAGGGCAGCTGCAGGGAGAGACGGGCCGTGGATTGGGGACACAGGAAGGATGCCGTGGTGGGGGCAGCTTGAACAACGGAGACAGGAGTGAGTCCCAGGCCCGGGGAGGAGCTGAGCCCAGACGCGGGCAGTGGAGTTAGGAAGCTGGCGGTGGGAGGAGGGACAGGCCTTGAGTGCCATCTTAGCTTGGGGTCCCCCAGAAGCAGGCCTTGGGACGCGGGTTCTAGCACACTCGAGGGAAGAGGAGCAGAGGGAGGCGAGTGGGAGAGAGGCTGGGCTAGGGGGGCAGCCCGGGGAGGGTGGGCGGGTGACACCACAGCACTGTGGGCAGCAGGGTCCCTCGGCTGGGGAAGCAGGAGCGGCTGGAGTGTGTGGGGTGGGGAGGGTGTGTATTTATCCACCACTCCCACTACAGGCTGGCTGAGGGCCGCTCCCGGGGGACATTGATGCCGCTGCATCTCCCACATCCACGGGGCCACGGAGAGGGCGGAGAGGGTCCCCGGCGCAGCAACGTGCAGGTCGGCGGACCCCCGCACGCTGCCTCGTGAGGGTGAGGGTGTGAGTGGGACGGCAGAGCTCTGCACAGGCCCACTGCAGCCTGGGCCTTGCCGCTGGTCTCCGACCAGGGGGAGGCCGCGCAGGGGGCGCGTGCCCACGTGCACCCACGCGCAGGCAAGGGCATGTGGCGTCGGGCGCCAGGAGCAGACTGACGCCTGTGGCGCTGAGAGCTCCGAGGGAGGGAGGTCCTGGGTGAGGGTCTGGGCCCAGGGGAGCTAAGGGTGTCCATGGGTGAGCCCCAACTCTGCCAGTTCCCAAGCGCTGGGCCCATAAACAGAGAGAGGTCCAGGGCACAGCACGACAGAGGTAGGCCAGTGGCTTCCAGAGCAGCTTGGGGCGAGCGGGGAGAAGCCCAGTGAAGGTCCTGGGACAGGAGGGACCAGAAGTGGCTGGCGAGTTTCAGATGGCCACAACCCAGACAGCTTTCTCAACTCCGCCTCACCCAGTGAAGGAGAAGTGAGGAAAGAGGCTCTCCCTGCACGGTGAGGGCTGGGATGGGGGTGCAGCCCAAGGATGGAGGGGTCTATGGGGTTGGGGAGGGGGGAGGCGGGGGGAGCTGCACAGACAGGGGTAGAGACGGGGCCAGGCCAGGCAGCGCCCCCTGGCCTGCGTGTGCCTCCAGATGCTCAAGCCTGTGGTCCCCAACCCCCAGGAACTGGGCGGCACATGGGAGGGGTCTAGGTTGCGCACTCCGTATGAGAACCTGATGCCTGATGAGCTGAGGCGGTGATGCTAGCGCTGGGGAGCGGCTGCAAATACAGATTGTCATTAGCAGAGAGGTCTGACTGCACAACAAATATAATGTGCCTGAATCATCCTGAAACCATCCCTGCCACACTCCCAGCCCATTGAAAAATTGTCTTCCATGAAACCAGTCCGTGGTGCCAAAAATGTTGGGGACTCTTGCTCTAGCCAACAGCACCCTCCAGGAGCCCCCTGTGCACTCAGCACCGTGCTGGGCCCCAGCGGGGGTGGGAGGAGGGAGCTAGGACATCTCCAAGGCAAAGCTGGCAGTTGGCGGAGAAGCTGGAGAGGCTGTCCCTGGGCAGGCGGGTTTCCCATCCAGAAACTCTAAGGGCAGAGGGGCTGCTTCAGAGCACAGCTGGGAACATCTGGGCCCCAAAGCCTGCAGCCCAGAGGCCCCGAGCTTACCCTGTCAGTGGCAGATGTGTGTTCTGGGCTTCGGCACAGGGGACAAAGCTGGCCCCTAGACTGGGGTCTGGGCCATTCTCTAAGGTTCAGCTTGTGGGTGGTGGGAGAAGCCCCTTGGGGTGAGTGGGGCATGACAGGCCAACAAGCACACGTCACTATACTGTGGGGGAGCAGCTGCAGGGTGGGGGGGCCCTAGCAACCTTCCCAGACCCTGGGACAGGCCCTCCCTCACACCTGGAAGGACTTTTCTCTACGCCATACCCAGGGGCTACAGCCCCCTAAAGCTGCCCCCACCTGAGCCATTTCTCCTTGAGATCCTCCCTCATGAGCACAGAGCAGCAGTGGGGGCAAGGCCACACTGTTTTTCTAGTTTGGGATCCCGCAGCCCCCGAGTGTGACAGCATAGTCCCTGCCCTGTGGTCCTCGGCCTCCCCTCCAGGCCTCCTTCTCGGGCTCTCTGCAGTAGGTTCAGCCGCCCTGGGACCAGGTCTGGGGAGGGAGTCAGGTCTGGGAAAACGATGCGTTAGGGAGAGAGGTGGGTTTTGGAGTCCACGTAATGATACCTCAATTTCAGGCACTGTAGACTGCTTTGCCATCCACGAACTCCTTCATACCATTTATTACCTAGTCTTCAGCTAGCTCACAGAGGGAGGAACCAGCCCATTTTGCAGCCGAGGGCCCCGAGGCCTAGCAACTCCCTGAGACTGAAGGTCTGGCCCGAGTGCAGGGCCCTTGCCGGCCCTCGGCTGGCTGAAGTCTCTGGGGTTTCGCTGTTGCAAGACCAGCACCCACCAACCAGCTCTGGGGCAAGAGGGCAGCAAGGAGGCCTCAGGGTCTAGGATGGATCTGAGATACGTCCCACGTGACAATGGGACTGGCCCAAAGGCAGCCCAGCCAGCGTCCCCGCTGCTCTGAGCCAGCCGGGCGGGATCAATGCGGGGTCCGCATACCAGCACCTCCTTCCCTGACATCCTCCGACCTCCACTCCTTACAACGATGCCTTACTTCAAACAGTGCAGCCCAGGCCACCTAGGCTCTGCCCAGCCCCTGCGAGGGTGCCACTGGTGTCCCGCTCAGAGATATCCCAGACTTCCAACTCAACTGCCCACACGTGGCCCAAACAGCGGGGGTTGGTTTCTGCAGTTCACCCACAGCAATACTGACCACTAGTGATTGCTTTCTAGGCGCCAGGCGCTGCTAAGCCCTCCACACGGTTATCTCATCTACTCCCATACTGCCCTGTGAGGCAGGTGCTGTTATCCCCATTTAACAGGTAGGGGAAATGAAGCCCAGAGAGGTTGAGACCCGCCTGAGGGCACCCAGCAGTGGCATGGCCAGATGAGAAGCAGAGGCGGCCTCGCATGGCCTCCATGATGCTTACCCCTGTGCACATGGAGGTCTCTGTAAGGTTGCCCGGTCTGCCCCACCCCCCCCCTCCACTCCTCTCCCCAGGGAAACTTCAGTTCCCCCATCTGTGGGCAACAGCATTCAGAGAGGAGCCAGCTGCAGGAGTTGGAGCTGCAGAGCGTGGGCATCGGGCAACCCACTCCCCAAACCCAGCTTCGAGGTCAGCCCCAGCCGCCAGCCTCCCCCTGTCCTCTGTCCCAGCCCTGTCCCAGCTCCACCTAAGGGCCTCACCCCCAAGCCCACCAACCCCTGCAGGTCCTGCTGGCAGCCCAGGGTCAAGAGAGATCTGGGCCGTGTATATTTTTCAAAGCTCTCAGCGAGTTGGAAACACCAGTGAGATCATCATTTGGAAATAACTCCAGAGACCACCTTTGGCCACCAGACTGCAACCCTGCCTCATTCTGTCTCTCCAAGTAGTCCTGGACAGAGCCCTGCTGCCCAGCCTCATTGCACATGGACAGAGTGGAGGCAGAGGCAGGGGCAGGGGCCTTAGGCCCTAAGGAGACGTTGGGGGCGGGGAGTAGCGAAGCACAGCAGGCATCAGCGAGGGTGGGCTTCTGGGGTAGGTGGGGCAGAGGGGAGGGAGCAGATGGTGGTGTGGCCCCTTGTCAGGTCCTAGGACATGCAGCTAGGGAGGTGCTGGGCAGGGAAGCAAGGGCAGGTGAGGAGCCAGGTGAGCTGGGCACCTTCTCCGCCCTTCCCAAGACCAGCTGCCCAGGTCTGCTGCCCTTGCTGTCTTGTGTAAATGAAGATAAATGCTCTGATGGCCACCTAGGTCCTCAAACAGAAGGCAGGGACATCGCCCCTGGCCTGCCCTGCGCAGCTACCCTGAGAGCCCAGGCCACAGCTGTGGCCTGTGCAGTGGGGAGGAACAAGGCTGCATCTGGAGGCGGGGGGGGCAGCTCAGAGTCCGAGCAGCCGCCCTGTGAATGGACCCACCAGGGCATAAGAGGAGGGCAACACTCGGGCTGGTGGGGCGGGGAGAGGATGATCTGGTAAGCAGGGCTTGAACAGAGCCCCGAAAGCCTCCGGTTAGCTGGGTCCCAGGAAAAGGCTCAGAGGGAATGAGCCTTCAAAGGGGAGGTCACGGAGAAAAGGCAGGAGCAAGCTCTATATGGGGCGCCCGTGTTTCCCGACCCCCAAATCAAGACACATGCTGGTCTGACGGGGTCCAGAAGAACTAAAATGAGACCTGTCCTGAGGACAGTGCCACTGAAGAGGACTGGCATTGGTCCTGGTTATTTTTTTTTTTAATGGTGGCAAAATACACATCATAAAACTTACCGTTTCAACCATGCTAACATGCACAATTCGGTGGCTTTAAATACATTCACGATGCTGTGCAGCTGTCACCACTATCTAGTTCTGGAACTTTTTCATCGCCCCAAATGGAAACCCCACATGCAGTCAGTCCCCTCACCCCCCATCCCCCAAGCGTCTGACCCTGCCAATCTTTCTGTTGCTATAGATTTGCCTATTCCGGATATTTCACAAAAGTGGAATCAATCATATACTATTTGGCCTTTTTTGTCTGGCTTCGTTTACTCAGCATCATGTTTTCAAGGTTCCTTCACATTGTGGCATGTGTCAGAACGCCAGTCCTTTGTATGGCTGGATGACAAAGTGTGTTGCACGGATGCAACACACTTTGTCCATGCATCGGTTGATGGGCAGCTGGCGTCTTTCCACCTACCCCAGCTGACTGTGAACAGCGCCGCTATGAACGTTTGGGTACCAGTTTTTGTTTGAACACCTGATTTCAATCCTTTTGGATACATACCCAGCAGCAGAATTGCGGGGTCATATGGCCACTATGTTTAACGCGTCTAGAACCTGCTAAACTGTTTTCCATAGCACTATGTGACTTTGCATTCCCACCAGGAGTGTATGACGGCTCCAGTTTCTGCACATCCTCCACAAAACTTAAAATTGTCTGGTTCTTGTGGTAATAGCCATGCTAGCAGGCGTGTTGATCCTTGGTTTTTGAAAGACCCAAGACTCCCTGCGTGGAGACAGGCCCGAGAAAGGGCTGCACGGCAGCAGTCGCTGGGGCGCCGGAAGAGTTCTGTTATCACGGCCTCCGGGTGGCCCGGCTGTGCCCAGCACCTGCGTGCTTGGATGCAGAGAGGCACCCAGTGAGACACGGCCACGCTCCGTGATAAGAACCTCAGGCCAGGCCTCCCTCCCCTAACCACCCCCAGACCAGCCTCCTCTCCTCTTGGCAATGGGAACCCTCTTCAGGGGCACTCGGCAGCCCCTCCCCAGACCCTGCCCACCACTCTGCCCACCGGCTGGTGTTCGTTCCCCAGTCACTTGTGTTTGTTCCCTAGCGTGTTTCTGACAGTTCACTTGTCATTGTAATTACAGTTTGTAATCTAGCTGAATGTTAGATTAATGAATGAATGGGAAGTGCACAAACAATGCACATGAGAAACATGATGCTTCTTACGAAAATTCAGTCGAGTGCTTTGAAAGACACCATATAAATGAGTCACAAAGAAATTGCTGTCAAATTAGGCGTGGGTGAGACCAATGTAAAGAACTGGGTGGGCGAGGATTGCCAGGATCTACATGGGCTCCTCCTCCTGACCGTTTTAGAAGGTCCTTTAAGTGCCCCTGCACTTCAAAGAATCCAGAGCTGATGTCGAGGATGGTGCTCCATCATGTGGATTTCCCAAGGAGGTGACTCCAAATTGCAAGGGATGGACGCATAATAGAAGAGAGCTTAAGACAGATCAGTGACTACAAGCTCACTCCTTGGTTAAAATGACATGTGTGTTATGGGTTGACTTGCATCCCCAAAGAGATACGTTTAAGTCCTGACCCCTGGTACCTGAGAATGTGACCTTATTTGGAAATAGGGTCTTTGCAGATATAATAGAGTTAAGAATAGGTCACTAGGGTGGCCCTAACCCATTATAATTGGTGTCTTGACAAGAAGAGACACAGAGACAGAGAGAATGCCACGCAACAACCTAGGCAAGATTTGAGTGGTGTAGCTGCAAACCAAGGAGCCACCATGGATTGTCAGCCACCACCAGAAGCTAGGAGGAGGGAAGGAAGGATTGCCCCCAGAGTCTCAGAGGAAGCATGGCCTACTCACTCCTTGCTTGATTTTGGACTTACTTAGTCAGCTTGGGCTGCTATAAAAAATACCATAGAGTGGGCCGCTTAAACATTAACATTTATTTCTTACAGCTCTGGAGGCTGGGAAGTCCAAGGTCAAGGTGCCAGCTGATTCAGTTCCTGGTGAGGGCTCTCTTCCTGGCTTGCAAGCAGCCACCTTCTCGCTCTATCCTCACGTGACCAACACAGGGATCATCTCTCTTGTGCCTCTTTCTATAAGGGCACTAAATCCCATGAGGAGTGCTCCACCCCATGGCCTGATTAGGTCCCAAGGGTCCCACCCCCAAATACCATAACCCTGGGGGTTAGGCTTCAACACAGGAATTTTGCAAAGACACAAATATTCAGTCCATAGCAGACTTCTGGCCTCCAGAACTGTAAGAGAATAAATTTCTGGTGTTCTAAGCCACACAGCAGCAGTAACATTGAAGGTGAGGGCTGAACGACAAGAACAAGCCGTGGTGGCAGGGGCTGCACCCTCGGGCAGAGCGGCAAGGCCAGGTCTGGGGGCTGCGTTGGGGGTGGGGTGGGGGATGGGATGGGAGAAGGGGGAGCACAGTGTTGTGCAGAGATTCTCTGGCTGTGGCTCCCACCTACCAACCACCAGCTCCAGAGACCTGGGCCACGGCCCCAGGAAGGGGAGCCCTGTCCCGAAACAGTGGCCAGGTCAGAGTCACTGTGTACTGCGAGAAACTGAGGACACCGGGCTGCTCTGCCAGGTGGCCCGTGGCAGAGCACAACCCTGGCAGAGGTGTTGCCACCATATCAAAGAGAAAAGGTGAGCGCCAGCCAGCAAGGTGGCGGAGGACCACAGGCCAGTGAGGAGACTGTGGGAACGATGGGACCAAGATTGCCACCTCCAGCCCGGAATCCCTTCCTTCTGGTTCCAGGGGCCCAGGGTGCCCCCCACACGCACCAGTTGCCTTGACAACCCTATTCCTCCACCCCACCCCATCGCAGGTGGCCCAGAGAAGCCTGGACAGAAGGTCCTGGGTGACCTGTGAGAGAGCAGGTGCCACAGGCTGGTGGAAACCTGTAGAGCCGGAACCTGGGGCTCCTGATTCAAACCCAGCTCCCGCCATTACTCAAGTTCTTTTTCCAGCTGGAAGTCTGCTTGCCTCAGGGCAGTGGCTGGGAGAGTGGCTCTGAGTCCAGCTTGGAATTTGGGAGAGGCATCAAGGTCCAGCCATTTAAGCATCACAAGAGCCCCCAGACTTCTTAGCTGTGTCATTTTGAGCTTCTTTGAGCCTCAGTTTTACTCATCCATAAAGTGGGTGTATTAGGGTAAGGTTAAGCTGCTATAATGAAGAGACCAGTGATAAGTCAATGGCTTAAGAAAGACCACCTCTCTCTCTCCTCTCTCTCTCTCTCTCTCTCTCTCTCTCTCTCTCTCTCTCTCTCTCTCCAGTCCACAGTGACCATCCTGTGGCTACTGCTCTGTGCAGACGTCCAGGGACCCAGATAGAGCCTTTCACTTTCTTTCTCCCCATTCCTTAGGATATTGTCTTCTTTGTCAAAGTCAAAGCCAGATCACAGGCCTGTCCTTGTTCTTACTTGTGAGAAGAGGAAAGAGACCATGGACAGGGAGCCCCCCAATCTTTCAGCCTAGGCCCCTGGCCTGAGGGGCTCACACCGGTTCAGCTTCGCTTCCGTTAGTGAGAACTTGGCCACACGCTGTTCCTAACAGGGAGGCTGGGGAAGAGTTCTGGCCACGTGCTGGGAGAAAGGGGACTGATTCTGAAGGGCAGCTTGCAGCCTGGGGCTGGGTGGGTGTCCTGACACCTCCCTGCAGCTGTGCAGCGAGGGCAGATGAAGTACCCGGCACTTAAAGTGCTCAGCAAAGGTGCTCAATGTCACTGAGCTCAGAGCTCCAAGGGGTCTTAGAAACTCTCCGATCCAACAGTCTCATTTCTTTGCAGCTAAGGAAACAGGCCCAGAGAGGAGAGACGTTGGCCTGGGTCACCCGCAGTAAGGGGCAGAGTTGGTCCAGAGTCCTGTCTGGGCGCCCCAACCCTCTCCTCCCACCTCTAGTTTCAAATTACCTGGTCTGGCCCCAGTGGCAATGGGCAGACAGCAGGACCAGAGGCCCTCTCCACTGTGGCCAGGGTTGGGGACACCATCCTGGGAGGGACCCTGTGCCCAGCAGCAGTGCCCTTGGCCGGGACGACATGGCTTTATGACTAGGTAGGTGTGGCCCTGGTTTCCAGGACAGGTGGCCAAGCTGCTCTGTGACAAAGGGCCACACCCGCCCCCCGGGAGGGGAACTGGGCTGCGAACAGCTGCCACGGCAGGAGGACGCAGTAGGCGGCTGAGGAGGATGGCGTGCCTGGGTTTCCTCCTCCCCGTGGGCTTCCTCCTCCTCCTCACCAACACCGCAGCCCGGGGGGAGTACGGCGTGGTCCACGTGGTGTCGGAGAACTGGAGCAAGGACTACTGTGTCCTGTTCAGCTCCGACTATGTCAACCTGCCTCGGGACCTGCGCCACGCCCCACTCCTGCCCCTGTACGACGGCACCATGGCATCCTGGTGCCCGGGCGACAACTCCTCCCCCCAGGCCCTGCCCGGCTCCCCCGGCCAGCGTCCCCTCCGCCAGACCACCGCCATGGTCATGAGGGGCAACTGCAGCTTCTACGCCAAGGGCTGGCTGGCTCAGGGCCAGGGCGCCCACGGGCTGCTCATCGTGAGCCGGGTCAGCGACCAACAGTGCTCAGACACCGCCCTGGCGTCCCAGGACCCCCACAAGCCCCTGCCCGACCTCACCATCCCCGTGGCTGTGCTCCGCTACACCGACATGCTCGACATCCTCAGCCACACTCACGGGGACGGCGCGGTCCGCGTGGCCATGTACGCGCCCCCGGAGCCCCTCATCGACTACAACATGCTGGTCATCTTCATCCTGGCCGTGGGCACCGTGGCCGCCGGCGGCTACTGGGCCGGCCTGACCGAGGCTGACCAGCTGCAGCGGCGCCGGGCCCGAGGAGGAGGAGGGCCTGGCGGCCACAATCAGCCGGAAGTGGAAGCAGCAGCAACAGCAGCTGCCGAGGCGGCCCCCGGGGGCCGGGGGGAAGAAGAAGATGAGGGTGCACCAGTGGACTTCACGCCGGCCATGACGGGCGCAGTGGTCACCATGTCCTGCTCCATCATGCTGCTGCTCTACTTCTTCTACAGCTGCTTTGTCTATGTCATGATCGGGCTCTTCGGCCTGGGCGCCAGCACCGGCCTCTACAGCTGCCTGGCCCCCCTGGTGCGCCACCTGCCCCCGCGGCCATGCCAGCGGCCCCCGCGTGGCCGCCGGGCCTCTCTGCAGCTGCCCCTGCGGCTGCTTGCTGGCCTGTGCGCGACGGTGACCGTCCTCTGGGTTGCCTACCGCAACGAGGACAGCTGGGCGTGGCTCCTGCAGGACACGCTGGGCGTGGCCTACTGCCTGTTTGTCCTGCGGCGCGTGCGGCTGCCCACTCTCAAGAACTGCGCCTCCTTCCTGCTGGCCCTGTTGGCCTTCGATGTCTTCTTTGTCTTTGTCACTCCCCTCTTCACCAAGACTGGTGAGAGCGTCATGGTGGAGGTGGCCTCGGGCCCAGCAGAGTCCTCGCAGCATGAGAGGCTGCCCATGGTGCTCAGGGTGCCCCGGCTGAGCTTCTCGGCCTTGACTCTGTGCGACCAGCCCTTCTCCATCCTCGGCTTCGGTGACATCGTGGTCCCCGGCTTCCTGGTGGCCTACTGCCACCGCTTCGACATGCAAGTCCACTCGCGCCAGATCTACTTTGTGGCCTGCACCGTGGCCTATGCCGTGGGCCTGCTGGTCACCTTCATGGCCATGGTTCTCATGCAGACGGGCCAGCCCGCCTTGCTCTACCTGGTGTCCAGCACCCTGCTCACCAGCCTGGCTGTGGCCGCCTGCCGCCAAGAGCTCACCCTCTTCTGGACCGGCCGGGGCAGAGCCAAGCTCGGCAGGGCCCCTTCAGCGGGCTGCGGGCAGAAGCAGGGGGCCGCAGCAGACGCCCACACAGTCAGAGAGCTTGAGGGGGCCACCGACCAAAGGGCAGGGGACTTAGACAGCAACGCTGGGGAAGACACAGCCGAGATTGTCACCATATCTGAGGATGAAGCCACCAGTGCAGAGGGCCACAGTGACAGCTCCGAGGGCTGGAGTGATGCCAACCTGGATCCCCATGAGCTGCCCACCGTCTCCCCCCAGGTCTCGGAGGAGCCGATACCACTGATGCCCCTGCTGTCCCAGCTCTCGGAGCCGGGCCACACCCACGCCCAGGCCCAGGCCGCCGGCCTGCCCTGGGCAGGGCTCCACAAGAGAAAGGGCTCGAAGGTGAAGAAGAGCATGTCCACCCAGGCTCCCTTGTGAACCGGACCCCCGGGACACGCGCCTCTGAAGGGGCTGGCAGAACACTGCAGAGTAAAGCCACGCGTGGCAACAAGAAATCGGGGCATTAAAGAAATTCCATATCTTCCCAAGGAGCCACTCTGTGTCAGGACTGAGAGAGCAGCGGCCACAGAATAAGTCTATGCATGGCCTGGAGGGTCCTTAGGAGTGGGCACCACCCCCAGTTCAGGTAGAGGGGGAAATTGAGGCTCAGGGAAGGCGTGTGACTTGCACGAGTTCACACAGCAAAGTCAGGATTTGCATCCAGGGCTCACTAGGTGGCATTTCCCCTCTCCCTGCCTGCCCACCCTGCCCCCCAAGCCAGAGCTGCAGCTCCCTAGCCTGGCAGACAGCCCCCATCCCACACCTGCCACTCACCCCAGCCTCACTGCCCATCGTCTCCCCATGCTCAGGTCCAGCAGAACTGCAGCAGCTCCCTGACCGCTCCACAGCTCTCCCTCTCTCTTTGCACATGCTGTTCCCTCTGGCTGCAATGCCCTTCCCACCACAGACAGAAATACTCCAACCCGGCTCTCTGGCTTTCTAGAAAATTCCTAAGTATCCTCCATGCATTAGCTCACATCCGTTCTGCTACACATCTCTGCCCAAGGCGTCCCAGACAGCAACACCAAGCCTAGAACATTCCTGCATTCATCCACCCACTCTATCCACAGACACTGAGTATACCCCTGCTGTGTACGCCACTATGTGGTGGGCACTGGGGGAGGCTCCTGTCTCCCTGGGGGAAGGGCAGGGGTGGAGGACAGACAAGGACTGACCTGAGAATTGTCTCAAAGTGGGGACAAGAGGGGCTGGGCTGGGGTGGAAGAATTCAGGAGACCACGGCTCTAGTTCTCACACCTCCCTCACTGACTCTGGATTATGGACAAGCCTCTGTGGGCCTCAGTAGTCTCATCTACAAAATGGAACTTATAATACCACATCCGTCTGGAGGCAGGGGCATGGACAAGATGACCTCCTGGGGACCCTACAGTTCTTTAGGCCATATGGTGTGTTTATATGTTGCTTAATCAAAGCAAACTCTGGGGCTACAGATGACGTCCTGGAGGGGCTGTGTGAGAGAGGAGGAACCGTGTCCTGAGAGGCGGGTGGTGCAGTGGTTAGGGCTCTTACCGCCGGCTGCCCACCAGGAATCCCGGCTCTACCACTGACTTGGAGAATGTCACTGAGCAGTGACTTAACCTCTCAGTGCCTTGGTCTCCTCGCCTGTAAAATGGGAAGATTATAGGACCTACCATGGGTTATTAGGAAGTTTGAATGGGCAGGCTCACGTCAGGTGACGGGCACAATGCAATGCATGGAGGAAGGGCCACATGAATGTGACTAAGTTTATCTTACTCCTCTTAGCAAAGGCCTCACAGAACCGAATCCAGCTCCCGCAAGGCCCTGGGGTTCCGGCCCCACCAGCCCTCTCTCCCCCAAGCCCTCCACCACCGCGAGCACGCGCTAGGCCCACCACGCTCAGGGCCCCACCAAGGGGCTCCCTGCTTCTTCCTCTCCCCAGAACTTCCTTTCTGTTCAGTGGAGTGACAGCTCCGGGAGGGCAGGGACCTCGTCTGTCTCGTTCATCTGTGTAGTTTCAGGGCTGGGAACGGGGCCTGGTATGTCATATAGGTGCTTGATTTGTTTGTTGGAGGAAGGAAGGAAGGAAGGAAGGAAGGAAGGAAGGAAGGAAGGAAGGAAGGAAGGAAGGAAGGAAGGAAGAGTGGATCCAGCCCAAGCTGTGGAGGGGCAGGGGACTCCACGAGGGAAGACCCTGCTGCCCAGGCCACCTCACTGGGTGCCTGCAGGGCGCTGGTCTGTGGATGAGAGACTGTGGGGTCTGCTTAGGGGCAGCGAGGGGCACGAGGCGGAGCAGGTGGGCAGCTCTGAGCCCCTACTCCTCGGGGGCAGAGGCACAGCCCCTCCGACACAGCAGCTGAAGGCCGGGCCCAGGCCGCTGACCGGAGGTGCTGGCAGCCCCTCCCACCGGAGCCCACGGCCATCTGGCCTGGACAGAGGGGCCTCCACAGGCCCTGGCCCAGCCCCAGCCTGGGCAGCCTCCCCACTGCTGACCTGCGTCACTGGGCCTGCCGGGGGCAGTGACAGCCTCTGCTAGGCCCGAGGGGAAGGGCTGGACAGAGCCGCGGCCTCCTGGCCACCCCCTAGCCCAGACCGGGAGGTTGGGACGAAAGATCTGCTCGCCCCCAGGAATTCACCGCCGGGCTCTGAGCGTGCAGGCCTGGAGCACCGGTGCGGGGCTGACTCCTGCCTCCAAGGCAGGGAGGTCAAGAGGGCCTGGGTAGGGGGGCTCCCCTCCCATTCATCCAGGGCCCTGATGGGGGGAAAGGCTGAGGGGGCTCATGTCTGCCTCTGTTGCCTCCACCACCCCTCCCCGCAGCTTGCCGTTTGATGCTGGAGCACCTATGAAGTCCCGAGACCAGGCCTGGGGTGGACAGCAGCCAGGGTGCAGTGGCATCGGGTGCCCCCAGCACCTGGCGCTGCTCTCAGCCCCACTCCCCAAAGGGACGTCATCCTGCTTGTCCAAGGTCAGCCCCGCCTGTGGTGGCCACAGCCACGACGGGACAATGTGGGAGAACTCTATGGAGGGCACCCAGCTCCGGAGCTCCCGTGGGCTCACTGGGGCCCTGCATGACCTGAACTGACCTGGATGACCTTCCCCCTCGCCACCTGCACCTCACTCCCTCACGGCAGCTCCGCAGAGACCACTGCCCAGCATCCCCTGCCACGGCGCGCCCGAGTCTCATTCCTGGGGAGCCCACGCTGAGACACAGGGACGACGGCCTTCCCCGTGTGAACCGCGAAACCACCTGCGTTCCCCACACACCACGCACTCCACGCTCCTCCCCTACTCGGGAAACGTGCGGGGAGCGGGCTGGAGGCAGGCAGGACCCTTCTCTTCCCTCCCGAGAACATGTGCAGCAGCCACCCACTTCACGGATGGGGCGGGCTAGGGCTCTGGGTCCAGCAGGCAGCCCGAGGCGTCTGGACAAAGGTGCCCGAGCATGGCTACAGGTCAGAATCACTGGGGTACCTGCCAAAAACACAGGGTCCTGGGCTCCAGCCCCACAGATTCTGATCCGGCAGGTCTGGGGTGGAGCCAGGCTCCTGCAGGTTTGAGGGACCCCCACCCCACCCCAGCCTTAGAGTCTGGCCTTGCTCCCTTGCCCTGGCTGGGCCGGGAGGAGGTGGGGAGAGCTTCAAGGTGCAGGGGCCCAGGTCCTGCCTCCCTCCCTGACACCCTCGCTCAGACCCACCGGACCACTCCCGCAGGCTCCGCCTCCACCCCTCCCCTGCCCATCCTGGCCTGGGGACAGGAGGAGTTGAGCCAACTGTCCCAACCAACCAACCAACCCACTTCACCGCCCCGCTCTCTAGAACACCCTGTCTCCGTGGCAGAGTGTTCCTTTGTCCCTCAGGCACTGGGCCTGGCACATAGGACGTAAGTTGAAATCTGAAGGACGGGAGGAGTAACCTGGGTGAAACCAGAGGAAGAGCTTATGCGACTGATGGAACAGCACGTGTAAAGGTCCTGTGGCAGGAGGCAGCATGGTACGTTTGTGTGGCTAGAGCAGAGAGAGCTAGTGTGAGGAACGTGGTTTTGGGGAAATGACACCAGACCCTTCCAGTGTCAAAGAGTTTGTGAGACACCTGCCCAGTGAGTCTGTGGGACAGACGAACGTCCTCCTTACCAGCTGGGAGACCTTGGGGTGCAAACATTTCCTCATCTATAAAGTGGGCGTAAGAACACTGCCTCCCCCAGAGGGTGTGGCAAGTATCAGACGCGCAGGCACAGAGCCGCGCCCAGTGCCCAGCGCAGAGTCCCACGGTCTTGTAGCGCTGCGGCTGCTGTGCTGTGACAGCCCAGCGCCGCCGGCTCCTGCCCGGAGCCTCCTGTTCACCGCGGCCCTGCCTCACTCGGCCAGTCCCCTTCACAGGGACTGGGCCGAATCCAGGAGGCTGGACCAGGCTGCCACCTGCCAGAGGGCCCAGAGCTGGCAGCCCCTCCCTGCATGCCAGAGGGACGCAGGATGGATACTGCAAATGTGCACGTATACACACGTACAGGTACACGCACAGCCACGTGCACACCTACACACGTGCACCGGTACTGAACACACGCATATCCTGGTGCACACTTGCACACACACACGCACACACACACACCCCTGGGCTGTGACCTGCTGCTGCTCTTCCCTTTAGATCCGGCCCTTCCCCACCAGGCCTCCCCTGGGCCGATGGGAGTGGGGGTGCTGCTGCCTGGATTCCCCACCCCAGAGGGCAGGGTGGTCCAGCTCCCCACCCCCGGCCTGTCCCTTTCATGGTGGGGCAGACAACGCCCAGGTCCTCCTTGGAGAAAGGACTCACTGCCCATCCGCTCTGAGGAGTGTGGGTAGCTGACGGCCTCCTCGGGGAGCCTCAGCTCTGCAGACCGCTCATTCCATCATTCCAGCTCTTCAGGGACGTGGCGGGGGAGGGGCATGGGACTGAGCCAGGCAGTGTCCCAGGGCCTGGCCGAGGTTCTTGCACGATGCCCCGGGCTGGCGCAGGCTGTGGCAGGCCTGTGTCCCAGTGGCTCCCCCTGCCGGAGCCTCCTCCTCGTACCTCTGCTCTTCTGCCTGTATCTCAGCGCCCGCTTCCTGGAGAGCCCCACCTGTGACAGGGGAAGCCTCAGATGGAACCAGGTCAGGAAGAGACTCCTCAAGGCCACACCCAGGACTCTGGGTGGCCCGGCTGCGGTGCTGGGGCTGTTTCACTGGGCTGCCAGCTCTTCTTCTGTCACCTTGGTTAAGCCCAGCGAGAACTCCATGAGTGACCGCCTTGTTTTTCTAGTTAATGAAAGTTTGGTGCTGGAGCTTCTGGATTTCTGGGAAAGTGAGAATCAGCAAGGACCTGTGAGACGCTATAATCCACAGGTGAGGAAAGGAGAGCCCAGAGAGGGTCAGGACCTGCCCAGGGTCACACAGCGATGGGACTGGAGAAATAGAGCTCCTGCCTCCCAGCCCAGCAGCTGGGACCAACTCTCGCCTTCAACACACCCTGGCTTCCAATCCATGCTCTCTGAAGACAC